CCTAACCCCTAAACCCTTACCCTAACCCTAACCCCCTAACCCTAACCCTTAACCCTAACCCTAGCCCCTAACCCTAACCCTAACCCCCTAACCCCAACCCATAACCCTAACCCTAACCCTAATCCCCTAGACAATAACAGATTTTTACACTGTATAGCTTTTTGACTATACGCTGCTACTACGATTCACAACGTTGGTACTACGATTTTGGCAGCAAGTCAAGAATGTGATTATGACGTCACGTTTTCATATTATGACGTCACGATTTCATTCACAGTCAAAGCCTAGCCAGCCGGTTCAAACTGGATTTTCTGAAAACAACAACACAATACAGACAATAACAGATTTTTATTCAGAATGAAAATACATCCATTTACTTTTTCTTCTTCTGTGCCTTTTCAGGGATCTGTAATCAATCACTCGGTTTAACACCCCAAGTCCCTTTTTTTTTTTACCAGGCTGTCTTTTAATCTAAAATAAAGTCCAAATTAACATCAACATCAAAGTCTCGTGTCATCCAAGGGATACCTTTTTCATTTGGAAAATAAGGAATTATTCCATGGAGATACTCTGTATAAGTAACTTTGGGTCCTTTTAAGGGTTTTCCTTTTTTCTTGGTCTGGAGTAAATCTTCAATACACCATTCTAACTCTGCTAGCCATTCAGTTTTAATCAGAAAATCATCATCCTCATCTGTAATCTCCCATTTGTAGTGGTGATAACCCTTCATTCCCTCAAAAGAGCAGTGCTTCCTTATCACCACATAATTTTCAGGAAATTTTACTCTTTTTTCCAACCACACTCTTTGTTTAGATTGGTGACATTGTTCCTGAAACAACTTATCCAAGCCCCACAGTTCTTTACAGTATTCCATAAAAATCCATGCTTTTTGATTAGATTCTTCTGAATGGGTTTTATGGTAATCCTCCGTGGCTTCTTCTAGGGTTTCCATCCACGGTCCATTCTTGTCAGTATTCTCAATAAACCAGCGATACCTTGGTTCCATACCTCTGACTTGACCACTGAACTTTTTTTAAGTCTGTCGAGTTCCAAGTGCTCACGCAGAGTGATCCTCATTATCCAGCTCTGGTTTATATATACGATTTGGTTTGTTTAGGGTCGTGTGCAAAAAATAGGTTGGACTTACGTTTTGATCGTACTGTGTACGTCTCTGTACACGCTCTAGTCAGCCACCTTACCTATGCATTGTGACTTCATCCACTGTATAAATACGGGTTTTCTCCGACTTTGGGTTCATTTTACAGTCAGAGCCATCAGCTGTTGGACATGGATTCTACTAGAGAAAAACAGTTACAGGCTCAACGATTATTGAAACTGAAAAGAAGGGAGAGAGAATTAGATCCAATTCTTTATGAGAAAAGAGAGCAAGAAATAAAGCTCCGGAAAAAAAATGCCGAAATATCAAAGAGAAGAGATCTACTAGAACAACAACAACAACAAAGACAACGACAGCATCAACAAAGGACTAGGGCGCATGAGAGACCAAAATCACCTATTCATTTACCACCGAAACCCAAGCCTATTTCTGAGTATTATCAGATAAGACTAAATAGAGAAATGCACTCTTCAAAATTTAAAGCTCAGGAAAATAAATATACTGTCAATTTCAAAGAATTTCCAGAAGAGGAAAACACAGGATTCGTTCGTCGATTATTCAGAGACATGTTACAAACGGTCAAATCGGAAATGCAGTGTAATCCTAACGAATACCTCCGCCTGAACCTACGTCACAATTCTTTGGACTCAGATATTTGGTACGAGTTTACGCAATGTAAACATTTGAACGAGGACCTCATTTTAGACAAGATAGAAGCCGTGCAACAATCCAAAAAGGAGTTCAAACTGGGCGACGGCTCCCTGGAATTCGATATGTTTCACGTCAAGTATCCACAAGGCAGTGGTGGAAACAAAACCAAACATCTACAAGTGAATAAGGAGACTTTCAAGAACAATAAAAGATCCATCGTTCGGATCGTCAATCCCCATGATAAATTTTGTTTAGCTAGAGCCATCGCGGTCACCCGGTTACACAGTCAGAAACCGGAACATCCAGACCCCGAATGGGAAAAACGATGGCTGCGTATGAGATTAGGAGATAAGAAATCCTTAGATCAGAAGAACGAAGCAATAGCCCTCATGGAACAAGCCGGGTGTGATATCAATCAACCTTGTGGATCCAAAGAATGGGAAAAATTACAACAGGTATTAGCCCCTCGCTACCGACTGAAAATATTTCAGTTCAAATCCACTTCGACTAAACTCACCTTGGAACCCATTTACAAAGTTTACCCAAACGGAACTTGTTTGAACATTTTGTTAGACGAGGAGCATTGCGATGCCATCCTATCCATGCCGGGAGTAACGGGGAACCAATATTACTGTGATCATTGCGATGTGGGGTACAGGACTGTCACAGAACATCGGACCAAGTGCCCTTATCGATGTCCTTTTTGTTTAGGACACCCCAAATGTCCCAAAGACGGGATCCACATTAAATGTCAGCATGCCAAGGAATTTTTAAGAACAGGACCTGCTACGAAAATCATTTAAGACCCCATAGTAAGAAGACCCCCACCAGTGTATGCAGTTTAATGGGACTATGCGAGAAGTGTCAGTCTTGAATACCTAAGAAATTATTTCCTCATCACAAGTGCGGAGGACAGAAACAATGTAAGATTTGTAAGAAAATCGTCGATGCCGATCATCGTTGCTACGTTCAACAGAAGCCCGAGAAGAAGAAGAAGGGGAAATACACCTTACAGTTTTACATTTATTTCGATTTCGAATGCACTCAGGAAATCGGCATCCACATCCCTAATCTGTGTGTGACACACCGCGTCTGTCAACATTGCAGTCACTTACCCATAGAGCAACCCTGTCCTCATTGTCAACACATGGGACCCCGTCAGCACCTATTTAAAGGACCAGAGACCTTAAAGAAGTTCATGGACTGGTTATTACAACCCACAACAGGTACTAAGAATTCCACATTAGTACACGACGAGGCCATCATCATCGCTCATAACTTCAAGGGATACGACGGACAATTCATTTTGAATTACCTGGTGCATTCCGCCCCCCTGAAACCTAACGTCATCATGAACGGCAATAAGATCTTGTACAGTGTACATGGAAATTTGCGGACTGAAATTCATCGACTCGTATAATTTCTTACCGTTTCCTTTGGCCAAGATGCCCTCCGCTTTCGGATTCGACGAATTGAAGAAAGGTTACTTTCCCCACTTTTTTAATACGGAACAGAACCAGAATTACGTGGGGCCTTATCCACCGGCAGCTTTCTACAAACCGGACGAAATGTCTATCAGTGGACGACAGGCTTTTTTCGAATGGTACGAACAACAGACCGGAAAAGTGTTTGATTTCCAGAAAGAGTTTGTAGAGTATTGTATCTCGGACGTCGACATTTTACGACGTTGCTGTGCACAGTTTAGAACCACCCTCAAGAGTTTGGTTAAAGTGGACCCTTTCCAGGAATCCATCACGTTTGCCAGTGCTGCTAATTTAGCCTACCGTCGACAATTCATGCCTAAAGAGACCATTGCCATCATTCCGAACCTGGGGTATCATTATATTGTGAGGAAGGGGACATGAGATACGTGGACGTCTGTTCCTTATACCCTTACGTGTTGAAACACAGACTTTTCCTGTAGGGCATCCCGAGATCATCACAGACGAGTTCCAGGACGTGAGAAGTTATTTCGGCCTCATTCATTGTCGGGTCTTACCACCCCGAGGCCTCTATCACCCCGTATTACATTATCGGACGGGAGGCAAGTTATTATTTCCCTTATGTCGAACGTGTGCCGAACGACAGGATTCTACTTCTCAACATCGATGTCAACACACCGACCAGGAACGTAGTCTCACGGGCACTTGGGTGACGACCGAATTACATAAAGCCTTGGACATGGGATATACCTTAGAGCGAATACACGAAGTGTGGCATTTTAAAGAAAGCAGTCAAGAGTTATTTAAAGAGTACATCAATACCTTCCTCAAGATCAAACAGGAAGCCTCCGGATTTCCCCCCGACTGTAAGACCCCAGAACAACAACAAGATTACATTCGACAAGTCTTAGACAAAACAGGCATCCTAATGGACATTCTCAGTATCGAGAAGAATCCAGTGAGAAGAACCATCGCTAAACTCTTTTTAAATTGTCTGTGGGGAAAATTTGCTCAACGCTTGTTATTACCCAAAACCAGATATTTGGACGAAGAAGAGGAATTACAGCAACTCTTACAAGATTCGACTCTCGACATCAAGGGCATGCGACTCTTAGTCAATAAAGAGGATTCCAATGAGGACAAGATGCTGGTGAATTATCAAGACAAACAGGAATTCGTCGAAGAATGTCCCTTTGGAAATGTGATCCTGGCTTGTTTTACCACCGCCCATGCCCGCTTACACCTCTACGAGACTTTACAATCTTTAGGAGATCGGGGCGTTTATTTCGATACGGACAGTATCATTTACCAACATCGGGAGGGAGCTTTTAAACCTACCTTGGGCAATAGTTTAGGAGAATGGACCGACGAATTAGATGGGGATCACATCACCAAATTCATGTCGGCAGGTCCTAAAAATTATGGTTACCGGACCTCCAAAGGAACCGAGACCCTTAAAGTCAAAGGAATCACTCTCAACCATCGAACCTCTCAGATCGTGTCCCTAGAGACTTTAGATCAAATGCTCCAGGGAGAAATAGAGGAAGTCACAGTACCTTATCCCAACAAAATCCAGACGACCCGTGATCATGACGTCGTGAGCAAACCTTTAGAGAAAAAGTATAGAATTGTGTACGATAAGAGACAATTGTTACCCTCTTATAACACTTTACCTTATGGTTATTGATATGTTGATATGTTGACTTTGAATTAAAAATTGAATGTTTTGTGTGTTGTTTTTCTTCTCTATAAAAGGTATTCTTATTCAACATCAAAGATCATTTCTAATCATGGGGAGTCGCGAGCCAGACCAACCCATGCGTTATCCGCAGTATGCTCAGCTCTCAAAGAGAGAAGTTACTTTTGAGCAGGGATGGCCAGAACCTCTCTTAGGAAAAATACCAGACATAGCTCGAGCTGGGTTTTACTACAGGGGAGTGAAAGATAACGCTACCTGTTTTCATTGTGGAATGACTTTAACGAATTGGGATCTTGAGGACAATCCTTATGCAGAACATGCTTATTGGAACCCCAATTGTCCTTACATCAATCAGTATAAAGGACGAAGCTGGGTGATGGGTATATTTGTCAGGTTCTTAGAGAAGCAGTGATATAAACCTTTAATTGAGATCAAACCTCTACTGAACCCGGAACCAGACGTCCAGGCTCGAGGAAAATGTCACATTTGTTTAGACGAGGAATTACAAATCGTTTTTCTACCTTGTGGACAGGTATGCTGCTGTGCCTTGTGTGCTCCTTCCTTTCAGTTTTGCCCCATCTGTCGAGCCGAGATTCAACAGTCCAAACGCCTATTTCTGTGTTAACTATAAATAAAGGACAGAACCCAAATTTGGTGTTTTCTAATTTTAAGCAAGCTCCTCAGACCTAGTTTTTTTTTACCACATTCAGTGATAAAGAATGAGATTTTTGAATTATTCCTAATTAAAAATTCTCTATTGGTTTTCCTCTGCAAGCTAAAAATAATTACACCTGAGAGTCTATATAAAAAGGAGACCCCAAATCCAGAGATCATTTCTGATCTGAGTGAGGGACAGAGCACACCATGGAATTTTTAACCTCTGAGTATCTTTGGAAAATAGAAGAACCAGAAGGGACCTCTGTAAAGGGAGAATGGGTGAAAAAACAAAGAGGAATGTATTCAAGATTTAATTGATAAGAATCCAGGACAAACAGGTCTCAATGAAATCTACCTGTGTAAGAGAATAAAGTTACCTGATCCCATAGGGGACAGCATCCTGGTCTTATTAGGACCCAGACATCCCAAGTATCGGGAATTCAAATGGAAAATCAAATATGTCTTGGCTCAGCAAAGAGAGGGACCCGAAAGCACTTGGATTCAAGGGAAATGGATAGAAAAAGCCGGAGATTGTATTAAAGATTATGGCAAGAAAGTGGTCCCAAAAGGATACGACATCAAAGACTGTGCTTGTGAAACACACTATTTGTACATGAGGAGATCGTTCCCCATACAAAAAGAACTGAAGAAAAGTTTTGAATGTTTATTATTATGATGTTATGAATAAACCATAGACATCAAACATTCTGATGTTGTTAGTTATTTCAGGATACACTTCACTGAGATAGAAAAAAAAACAAGACTTGCTTCATTTTATTTACACTTTTATTGTTCAAATGGATATTTATTTCCATCATATCAACATAAAGGACATCTCCTGTAGGAAGTTTGAAAAAGGTTCGTCACACTTTTCACAGCAGGGATATTTCATACACTGTCCACATTTCCATTTTCCTTGAGTGTTAAATTCCCAACAGGAAAGACATTTCTCAGTTTTTCTATTTCTTTTCATGAGCTTGGCCCAAGGGGGTGTGATTTTCTCCACCGGATATTTCCACAGGAAATATTTCAGGCACCAATCACAGGCACAATCCTCTAAAGAAGGGGGGTCTTCTATCACCCAGTGTGGTATAGGTTCTCCACATTCACTGCATCCCCAAAACCAACTAACAACTTTTCCCACATGATTGTAGGCGGCGTATTTCCATACCTCTTTCGTCTTCTTATGGCAGTGATGGCATATTTTCTTTTCTTCCTCATACCAATACATAATTCTCCACGCAAAAGACATTATTGCTAAAAAATGAGCGCAGTGAAGTCAAAGCGGCGCTCTATATACTCTAGGTTTGTGATGATGACGTCACAATCACGGACTTGAATCCCTGTCAAGTATTACCTGTGTATTCAGCATAAAAAAACGTCCCAAAGTCGTACATGAGCAAAAACGTAGGTCCAACTCATTTTTGCACACGAAAAACGTAGGTCCAACTCATTTTTGCACACGACCTTACAAAAGACTATGTAAAGCGGAGCTTGGAGTACCCTACGCTCATTGTACCCAATTTTGAAAAAGGACACTGAGCAAGTCAGACGTGTTTTCCCAAAGATGCAGTATCGTTGGTATTGTGAGAGTCCTGTCAGTCAGTTTACTGTAAACCAATTATTATACGCGTCATTTTTTATTCTCGACTGACCGCTAGAGAACTAATCCGCGACGATTTATTTCCGCGAACAAGGGATCATATTTTTTTTTTATTTCCACAAGTATTTTTTGTATCAAATTAAAATTTTATATCCGCCCATAAACTACGTAAAATGCTACCGTGATTACTGCTTACGCATTATCATAATCAAGACATTCTGTGCATTGCGTCCATTTAAAATCTTATATCCGCACCTGAAGTAGGTAAAATGTTACTATGAGTATACTTCTTACGCATTATTCACGACACTCGAACGAAAATCGGGGTAAAAAATCGAGGACAATGATAACACAAGCTGAAATAATTATTGACATTTTAATCATTTTTAGACAAATAGTTTTAGATTTGCCATTCGTTTATATATCTTTTTTCTGAACATGCTGAATGTTTGCAATTAAATTTCAACTGCTTTTAGAACACAAAAGTTCTTCGACCCGTGATTACTTATTGAACCGTCGGGATCGGTATTCAAAAAAGGGCAAATAACTCTAATCGTAACATGGGAAAACGAACAACCGGTTCGCAACGATAAATATCCGCGAGCAGAGGTTACTCGCGGAACTCGCGGATATTTATCGCACGCGTACAATACTTGGTTTACAGTATGTATATACAAGGAGGGTGGATGAAAACTAAAATAGGAGCCATCATGGATTTCTTTGAACATCATCCAGGCTATTCCCTGGAGAATGCGTGGTTGGAAAAAAAGAGTGAAAATCCCCTGTCCTTTAACAGGATCTAGAGCGAGGGTGAAAATCAACCACCATTATCAGCAATACAAATGGGTTA